TAGGCGTTTATTATATAGATGTTTAAATGTGTCCTTCTGGATTTTCTATTGCTGTTTTTTTTCCCTCTCTAGGTGTCATGTGTTTGCCATTTTACTTGACTTATACTTCTTTTCTCATTTCACTATTTTTTTGTCAATGTGAACTTTGTAAAGTTTCTCATATCTATTATTTTCATTCTTACTACCACCATTCTACCCTACATCCTTTTTATCTCTTTTATGAATATTTTACCAGCTTCCACAAAGGTGATGCTCCCTTCAATCTTTCCCCCACATATTCTTCTGTTAGATGTATCGTTTAAAAAATGATGTATGATTAGATCAATACTTTAAAAAAATTAAACCTTTGTTTTTTATATTTATTAATTAATTTATTTGTTATTTCCCCTATTATGCATTAAGAACCTCTTGTGTCTAGGCACCTAAGATACAGTAATAAACTAACAAATTTCCTGCTCGCATGTAATTTATAATTTGGCAGAAAACACAATAAACAAATATGGTCTTAAGGATGTTGGTAGAAAGGAGAAACATGGAAGGGCTCTTCAATAAAGTGATAAAGAACTGAAGAAAGGGAGGTAGTTATGAAAACTGGAATATCTTATATGAAAAGATATGGCAGAGAAAAGGAACAAGTACAAATGCCAGAGTCAAAACCATAGCTGGTTTAAAAAATAAGAAAAGGTCCTATTTATGCAGTCAATGAAGGATTTCTATTATTCTATAAGGGTAGAAAGATATATAGGTGAAGGAGAAAGAGGGTTGAATTAAAAGAATGAGGAAAAAACAATAATCTAATATGAATTAAATTATCAGTTTGATAATAGTACAATTATTTGTGCAACTGATAATTTTCTCAGATTGGCATTATCAATTTCAGTCTAAAAATTTATCAAAAGTTGTCTTATAGCATTTAAGTGCTCATGTAAGCACTTAATTTTGTTTTCATAATTATAATTTTTATTTTTTAAAAATATATTTTATTGATTTTTTACAGAGAGGAAGGAAGAAGGATAGAGAGTTAGAAACATCAATGAGAGAGAAACATTGATCAGCTGCCTCCTGCACACCCGCTACTGGGGTTGT